CATCCCATCGCCCACCGCCCTGTGCGAGAGGGGAAAAGCTTAGGAGAGGGAAGGGAGCGAGTGGGAGGGAGGAGAGAAGGCAGAAGGGGACAGGCATGTAAGAAGTCAGTTCAATAAAAGCGGAGGACACGATTGTATGATTGTAAAGGAGCAGTGGTAGCAGGAGGAAAACAAAACGGAGCGATAATAGAGTGAACGCTGGAAGATAAAAACATCAGTGAAAGAGGAGGCGATGGTAGCCCATGGCACTAGGTTGGCGAGCTAGCAGGCAAGGACGACGAGACGCGGGCGTGAGTGTGAGTGCATTCTAGCCCCCTAGGACTCTAGTGTGAGCTCAAGCCGCCCCAGTGCCATGTGCTACCATCGCCACACGCCGCCCATCCCACATTCAACTTTTGATCCCTCCCACGCAGAAGCAACGTTTTTGTTTCGCGCAAGATTCGATAAGCGAAAGAAGAAAGGAAAACAAGCAGGAAGGGAATGAAGTCAGGGTGTGAGAAACTCTTAGCCGTGTGGTGAGCAGTCGCATGAGGAGCAGAAGGGTTTTGACACGCCCGGCAGCAGCCCTCCCAGCAGCCCTCCCACCCAGCAGTAGTCCAGCAGCTCGGCAGCAGTGGTCAGCAGGGCCAGCCCAGGCCGTGCGTCATCCCACCGCTCGCCTCTCCCGCTCGCCACGCTGCTCCCACTGCTCCTCCCTGCTCCCTGCCGCTGCCGCCCAGTAGATGCGCTGGTGAGTGAGTGAGTACAGGCCTTGAGACGTGCAAGGTTGGACCAGAGGCTTGAGAGCGGGGCGGCAGTACAGGAATAAGCGCAATAGGTCAATGACAGACTCGATTACCAAAAGAGAGAGCAGCAGGAAAAAGCAACCACAAGGCAGAGGTCCCAACTTGTGAGGCAACAAAAAGCCGCGGTGCCACACGTGCTTGGTTGGTTGGTGCGCCTTGCTTGTCTGCCACTGTTCCTTGACACCAGAGACCACTTGAAACCAGAAGCTGAGTGACCTGCAAAGGAGAGGGGCGGAGGGTACGATCGTGGGATGTACACAAAGACTAAGTGCTGACTCAGAGACGACATATGTGGGAATATAACGTGAAAGACTTGACATGGAATGGAGAAACCAGGAAAGGGGGGGAGGGGGGAATAAAGGAGGCATAGAGCAAAAACTGGAACAAGAAAGAAGGATGGGAAAGTGGGAAGGGGATGGAGGGACGGGGGAAAGAGGCATACAGCAAAAACTCGAACTAGAGAGAGAGATGGGAACTAGAAAGGGGTGAGCTAAACTGGAAGCAAATGAGCACGTGGCAGCACGCCATGACCTATCTCGGGGGTGTAGAACTGGAAAAAGTGGCATACCTTGATAGGTCACGGCCAGCCCCATACTCTCCCGGGTAAAAGCGCTGCCTCCCTGCAGTGGCAGGTCCCTCTGCTGTGGAAGGTCCCTCTGCTGTGCCACAAGCTCTCCAGAAGGCGGGAACAACGAGCTCCCTGCTGCCCACTGCGCTTGGCTAACGGTTGCTGCTGCTGCTGCTTCTGCTGCCACAGGGGGGGGGGGAGGTTGGGGGGACGGGGGGGAACAGGAGGCATGCAACAAGAACTGGAGCAAGCAAGCAGCATGGGAAGATGCAGGAGAGCATGGAAGCAAACGAGCCAAAAGCAGAACGACATGGGTGGGTTTGGGAGGAGCGTGGGAGGCGAAGGGAGTGTGGCGATGGCAGGCCGTGGCAGTTTGGCAGCGAGCGAGCTTGCAGGGGGGGAGTGAGGAGGAGGAGGACGCGGGCATGAGGATGAATGCATTCTATTCTAACCCCCTACAACTCTACCTACATGCGCTCAGCTGCCTTGTGCCACGGCCCACCATCGCCACACGCCCTCACACTCCCGCACACACTCCCAACACACTCCTCAAAGTTTGCGCATCAACCAAAGTGCGTCAAAGAAAGACCAGTAAATGGGAATAGGTGCACTTAGCTGGTCGCTTGTTGGTCGCTCGGTGGCTATGGCGGATGGACGGCTCGTTGTACGCTCCCGGTTGCTGCTGCTGCTGCCTCTGCTGCCACAGGGGGGGAAGTTTGAGGGACAGGGAGAACAGGGTGCATGCAACAAGAACTGGAGCAAGCAAGACGCATGGGAAGGTGCAGGAGTGCATGAAAACGAATGAGTCAAAACCAAAACGACATGGAGGGGTTTGGAGGAGCGTGGGAGGCGAAGGGAGTGTGGCGAATGGCAGCCCGTGGCAGTTTGGCAGCGAGCGAGCTTGCAGGGGGGGATTGAGGAGGAGGAGGACGCGGGCATGAGGATGAATGCATTCTATTCTAACCCCCTACAACTCTACCTACATGCGCTCAGCTGCCTTGTGCCACGGCCCACCATCGCCACACGCCCTCACACTCCCGCACACACTCTCAACACACTCCTCAAAGATTGCGCATCAACCAAAGTGCGTCAAAGAAAGACCAGTAAATGGGAATAGGTGCACTTAGCTGGTCGCTTGCTGGTCGCTTGGTGGCTATGGCGGACGGACGGCTCGTTGTACGCTGCTTGTCGTCCTTCACTCGTCGTTTGTCTCTCATCCTTCGCTGATCGCCTTTCGTCGCTCGCCATACCCATTGTCCACTGCGCGTCATCCGTCGCTCGCGGTGCATGCTGTTCGTTGTTCGTCGATCGCCATCCGCGTCTCAGATGTTCTGCTGCTTGTCGTCCGTCACTCGTCGTCGCTGCTCGGAGTTTATCGCCCGTCGCTCAAACTCGTGCTCCTTCACCGTCGAAGTTCCCGCTCGTCGCCGTTCGCGAAAGGAGTTCTCACGCTGCCCGAATCGACTTGGCGTTTGCCGTACAACTGAACCATCGCTGCATTCGATCCTTTATCGTCGAACGTTGAACGCGATGACTCTCGTCCGTGAGCAGCACGCGATTCATCAGGATGCGACGTCTCGCGTCGTGAGCAGCACGCGATTCATCAGGATGCGACGTCTCGCGTCGTGAGAAGCACGCGATTCATCAAGATGCGACGTCTCACGTCGTGAGAAGCACGCGATCCATCAAGATGCGACGTCTCGCGTCGTGAGCAGCACGCGATTCATCAGGATGCGACGTCTCGCGTCGTGAGAAGCACGCGATTCATCAAGATGCGACGTCTCGCGTCGTGAGCAGCACGCGATTCATCAAGATGCGACGTCTCGCGTCGTGAGCAGCACGCGATTCATCAAGATGCGACGTCTCGCGTCGAGAGCAGCACGCGGTTCATCTGGATGCGACGTCTCGCGTGGTGAGCAGCACGCGATCCACCAAGATGCGACGACTCGCGTGGGTAACAGGCACACGATTCTCCAAGATGCGCCGTCTCGCGTCTGTGAGCAGCGCGCGATTCACCACGTCACGAAAGCGACAGCCGATGGAATGATCGCGTGCAACTGACAATCTCGAACCCGCCGATCACCACCACGCTCCTCCACTGCTCCAAACGGCGATGACCAAGATGCGACGACTCCAGACGGCGACGACCAATATGCGACGATTTCAGACGGCGACGAACAAGATGCGACGATTCCAGACGGCGACGACCAAGATGCGACAATTCCAGACGGCGATGATAAAGATACGACGACTCCCGACGGCGATGACCAAAATGTCTAGGACGCGATTTAACAGAACACGATATTTCTCGGCTTCAGCAGCTTCAGCGGGACGCGATTCAGCCGAATGCGACAACATCATGAAGCCGAGCGTCACGGGAGCGTAATGGAGTACGAAATACTTCTATTCTTGGAACTGCTACCGTCTCTATTCAGGTATCAGTGATCGTTGAGGTCTTACTGCTTTCGGCATCGGGGTCGTTATGCCCCAGAGTATAAAACACTGATCGCGTTTGTCGTGTCGCTTTTGCCGTCAAGAATAGCTTTTTTTATCAAACACACCGTTGAATAACTCTCATAATCGTCACCGTCGTACACACCCCGTGAACGACAAGGATAACTAACGTGCAGCTCTGTCGACGATCTATGTGACGCCGTCGCCACAGCCACCGCCATTGTTTAAGTAGCAAAATCCCTCTCCGAGAACTTAAGAAAAACGTCACCTCTGATGCTAAGAGCAATGAATAGTCACGGGAAACAAACTATTTGGCGGTTGATGGATTGTTGAGTCTTTTGAGTTCAGCTACACGTGCCGATCAATCTGCTGTTAACAGCGTAGCGGTACATAATAGTGGCTGCTAAAGCTGAGGTACTTGAGCCATGGATCCATGGACGCCATGAACATAACAAGCTGCCATGGAAACGAGCAGAACCTAAGAGCGGAGAATTCCTAAGCTGCCATGGACTCGGACATTCAGGGAAGAACTGGATTAGTCACTAGGATAGCATGCTGACTGCGGCAATTCCTAGGTACGTACCCAGGGGGAAGGGGATGCCTTGAGGGTGGATGTGCGTAGGCCAGGAAGGCGGAACAATCATACAATCCCTTCCGCTGCTCATGGGTTGCCAAACAGGCGGAACATTCTGGTTGTCAGTTTCGCGAGATGGATGTCGGCGAAACGATTACCCGTTCGCTGCCTGAAACTCATCTCCTGGCGAAGTAGACACAAGGTTTCGTTAACAGTTTCTGAAGACTGCCGAGTTTCGGCTGAGCGGGTTTTGGTGACTTTGCGCGCGAGCCGCCCAATTGAGCGGTGGCACCTGACAGCCGTGCCAGTGATGGCGGGAAATCGGTTCGTCTATCCATCGCCTCACGATCAACTTGATCGAACGGCGAGTGGTTCCTCAGCCCAAGCTAATCTGCGTCGCAGGGAACTTGATACATACCAATAAGCTTGATACATTCTGTGTGAACTGTAAAACTTCAAAAGATCCCATGTAAACACATATGGCCCTAATGAAATAATATAGAATACAGCACTCCCCCGTCCCCTGACCAGCCATGCCTCACTCACTCCCAAGGCCAGTTAGCAACACCGTCACTCCCAAGGCTAGTCGGGACCGATGTAAATGCAGACGGTAAAGCACTCAGCGCCGCGGCATCAGCAGCAAAAGCATTCCCAGCAAATCCAACACCGCCACACGTTTTACCGGGGAAAACATTTCTCCCAGACCAGCAGCTGTCATGATAACCCTCTCTAACTCCACCACTCGTTTCTCCAGAGCATCTACATACCCCACTGCTCTATCCAGCATAGCACATGTGTCCCCTCGCCCCCGCACCTTCGCCCTCAGCCTCTGCAGTTTCTCGCTGATCCTCTCCCTCCTCCGCCGCTCCGCCATGCTGCGTCGCTTGATCTTCTGGTTCGGCGCCGAAGCACTCCGGATGCCCTGGCACCGAGGCAACCACTCGTCGTCCGTTCCGCACTCGTCTTGCAAGGTGCCGCACTCTTCATGCTGCATGTGGCCCTTGGGATCATCCAAAGCATCATCACTGCACCACTCCTCGTGCGCGTCGCATGCGCGGCCGTAGGTCTCGCTCTCGTATCTCTGCACGCGTTCATCCCGGGGCGAATTTCGAGTCGACTTTAGAGTCATGTTGACATGCTCCCTGAAGCACATGCCCTCCAGCGCACCACTCTGGTTGAACCTCACATGTGGCACCGGGATATGAGGGTCAACAACCATGGCAGCGCCGAGGATAGACGCCCGTATCCCCTGGGGATATGAGGGTTCCTCTAGGTTCGGCTGAACAAATGAAGCGCTGGCCAGCCCAAGCGTACTTTGGCTGTAGCAGGCACGGGGGGTGTGCCTGGCGTGCTGCTGCGGTGTGTGAGCGGCTGTAGCACGGCCAGAGGGGCCCCCTGGGCTTGGGCTTTTCCTCTTCTTTCCGGCATCGCTCGCTGAGTTGGTGCCGGTGCTGTTGAAAACGCTCCCGCTGATGCCATGCGCTTCCACTTTCACGTTGCTTTTGCAGATTCCATTACTCATAGCACTGCTGGGTTTGGCGCTAATGCCACGCACAGCAAATGCAGGGTCACTGCTGCCACCGCCACCGCTGCCACAGCCACTGCCGCTCCTCTCCCCACGGCGCCCCCCCATGTGCCCCCACCCGCCTCGTCCGCCATGAGCCAATCGCAGAGCGCCATCTGGACCGTATCTGGGAGCAAACGTGGAAGCGAGGGCGGATTCCACTTGCTTCGTCGATCTTCCGACATCCGGAAGAGCCGCGAAAGCTGACAGCCACTGCTCCTTTTCCCGTCCCTCCAACTGCTGTCGCTGCTGTTGCTGCTGCTGCTGCTGATCCTGCTGCTCCTGCCGCTGCTGCTCCTCCTGAACCTGTGGCTGCTCTTGACTCACCGCCCTCTGCCCCTTCCTCCGCTTGCATAGGCTCTGCTCCTGCTTCTCCTTCTCCTTGTGCTTCTCCTTCTCCTTGTGCTTCTCCTTCAGCTTCTCCTCCTTCTCCTCCTCCTTCTCCCTCTGCTTCTGCTTCTCCTTCTGCTTCTCCTTCAGCTTCTCCTCCTTCTCCTCCGCTTTCTCCCTCTGCTTCTTCTTCTGCTGCTGCTGCTTACACCTCGGTTGCTGTGACAGCTGCTGCGGCTGCTCCTCCTCCTGCTTGAGCGCCTGCAGAAGAGCCATGAGCTGCTGCCGCTCGTCCTCGCTGCCTCCTCCCATTTGCGCCATCGCCATTACATGGCCTGATAACACTGCTTCCCCTCCCTCTGCCTCCGCCCCCGCCTCTGCCTCTGCCTCTGCCTCCTGCTGCTGTGCGTGCTGCAGTCGCAGGAAGCGTGCGAGGTGCGACAGCCCAGCCAGCATGCGCTGAATCTGCTCCTCCCCGCTCGACTCTTGCACAGCAGCACCAGCAGCAGCAGCAGCAGCCCCGGCAGGCTTGTCTAAGTTTCCCAACGTCTCCTCCGCGTCCCCTTCACCAGCCACCTCCCCTCCACTCACCCCGGGACGCATCCCCTCTGACGCTCCTCCTCCCGCCGGCCCGCCGACGCAGGTCATCAATGGCTCAATCGCTAGATGAACCGAAGCCTCGAGCTGGGGATCCCTCAGAGGCTGCATGTGCTGCAGCGCGGCAGAAGACTCGGCAATGTGCGGCAGAGGCTCTCTCTCGTGAGATCGAGGCCAGGCACGCCCTCTGGGACGCTCCGGGTTTGAACGTTGTGAGGCCGGCGGCGGCGGAAGAGCGGTGTGCGGCGGCAGCGGTGCGAGCGGAGCGAGCGGGGAAGAGTGCGGGAAGTGCAGCGGTGCGAGCGGCGAAGGAAGGTCGTCGAATGCGAAGAGAGCGGCAGCAAGAGAATCTGACGGCGTCTCTTCGCCTCCGGTGGTGGTGGTCGTGGTGGCGGTGATTGTGGTGGTGGTCGCGTCGCTGTTGACCACCAAAGCATTGGCGCAGTTGCTATCGTCCGCCATTATCATAGAGCAACGTGGCTTCGCCAGCCTCGTTAAACCAGAGCTGCTGGTAGGCTCGGGCGGACGAGTAGCAGGTACTTGTAGCAGGTGAGTCGCAGGTGGAGTCGCAGGTGAAGTATCAGGTGGAGTATCAGGTGGGGGATCACAGCAGAAGCTCAAATCTTGCCGGCGCTAGGTGCTTTGGGAAGTCGAAAAGACAGCTGTTGGCAATATGGTGGTGGTGACTTTTGAAGCGCCTCAAGAAATGGTGTCACCTCAGCAGTACAATGAAGGCTTGTTCGAGCAGTAGTAGCACGTAGAGCCTTGCGATCTTTCAAGGAATAATGGAACTCGGCGGTTAGTAAGCCTGTGAGCGGACCCCTTTTGAAGGTGAAATGGGAAGCGGACGATGATGTGCGGAGAGCAGCAGTCAGTGACAATGCATCACTCGATCCCTCTTTGAGGAATATTACTGATTTGGGAAGATTTGAAACGCTTGCTTTTGTAATCATCGATCCGATTTGACCAAGATTGCGCGAAATAATACCGAATCGCGGGACATGTGAGAGAGTGAGACGGTGGGGGAATATGCCTTCTTCGAGGAATCGCATCGTAACGAGCAGCCGACATTATTTACCGCGTTTGTTGGGATCGCGGCGCCATCCCGCCATGGTGTGACCGTGACCCTGTCCCGGGCCAGAAAACGGGTGTTCCGTTCCGTCCCACAAGATTACGCGCGCCACGAGCTCTCGCAGTGACAAGCAATCTCGGCGCATGCTTTTCACGCCGGTCGCAACCAACCGCCATCGCGTGCGAGGCGCGCAGCCAGCCTGGTTGAATTTGATGACGTGGCACCACTAATCCACCGCCACTACGGCTCGATTGCGAGCAGCTCGTGCGTCCCACGACGACTAACAGTGTCAGTCAGACGCACACGGAATGCAATCGACTGCATCCTGTAGCACATCTGAGATTACAGTATCGTGCGCTGGCAACGGTCAACTGCTCCGCACGCGTCGATTTATGATGGAACTCGCTGGATTCAGTTAGTGGTGTGCGCTGGAGGTTAGCGCTGAAAGCCAGCCAGGTAAGGACAGTCAGTGGGGAAGTGAGGGAGCTAGAAATGAGTGAGGTCAAAGCTTGAGCTAAAAGCCATTTAGCTGGGAGACGAGTGGGCCAGGAAGTGAGCTACAGAGCAGTGAGGGGTAAGAGCCAGCTGGCTGTGTAATCAGTACACCTGACCCGAACGCAGTACACCTGTAACCAGAGTGCTCAATTCTAGAAGCCCTGAAGTTAGTGTGTTCAAATCTAGAAGCACTGTAGTTAGTGTGCTCGATTCTACAAGCCATGGATGGTTTTACACTCTCTGAACCTTTGTTTGCTCAATTCAACAAGCTCTGTAGTTGGTGTGCTCGATTCTGCAAGCCCTGTACGTAGTTACGGTGGTGTGCTTGGTTCCACACGCCCTGTAGTGTGCTTGGTTTTAGAAGCCCCGCAGTTAGTGTGCTCAAGTCTACAATCCCGTAGTTAGTGTGCTTGGTTTCAGGCGCCCTATAATTAGTGTGATTAATTCTAGAAGCCCTGTGGTTAGTGTGCACGAGCCCTGTGGTTAGTGTGCTGTGCACAAGCCCTGTGGTTAGCATGCCCTGTGGTCAATGTGCTGTGCACGAGCCCTGTGGTTAGCATGCCCTGTGGTTAATGTGCTGTGCACGAGCCCTGTGGTTAGCATGCCCTGTGGTTAATGTGCTGTGCACGAGCCCTGTGGTTAGCATGCCCTGTGGTTAGCTTCCCTGTCCTACGTAGTGGATCGCTGAGGTGGGTGGGTTGCAGGGGGGGGGGAATGGGAAGGGGCAACGCAGGGAATGGGGTAAGTGAACGGGGTGGGGGTTGTGGGGGGAGTTCTACGCAGGTGGAGGGGGATAGGAAGGGGGAGGGAGGGGGGGTACCGTACCTGAGTGTTACCAGTCTAGATATCCTATATCCTATTTAAACTGGTTCAGCTCTAGCCCATGTGGTCTTCATCCTCCTGACTTGGCTTCCACATGGAACTTCTTTGGGTGTCCTGCAAGCAGAGGAGCGGAGGCAAGGCAGGCACACGAGATATAAGCTTCACCACATGATGAAATAAGATATGATCTAATCCAGTTTGGGTATATGATGTACATGATTTGGGTACCAACACAAGGAGCATGAAAAGACGTGACACGATACGATATTATGTGTGTTTGGGTTTGATCGGACGATATTGGGTGGAGAATAGGTTGTGTGAGAAAGAGAGTGGTGCAGAAATGAAGAGACAGGTAGTAGAAACTTACCAGAATCGATTGTGGCTCAACTCATGTGCTATTCTCGTGTACTCCCCCACTCCGTTACTCCTGCCGGTGCTCCTGAAGAATCATCACATCTGAAGAGGCATGTGGAATGGCATGAGAAAGCAAAGGGGAGTAAGAGGTGAAAAGTAAGGTGTGAAGGTGTATAAAGGAGCCAAGGGAGGGAAAATGAGAAAGGGAAGGCCTTGGGAGTCTTACCACGAGAAGAGGATCATCTTGGTCTTGCCTAAAGTCCGTCCATGCCACCACTACTGTCCTTATCTGAAGAAGGAAATGGAATGGGGGAGAAGGATATGGAATGGGTGAGAAGGATATGGAATGGGGGAGAAGGATATGAGAGGAGAGCAGGTGACATGAAGGACAGGAAAGCAAGAAAGCATGCACTTATTCGAAAAGGTGGCAAGGAAGGAAGGGGCAGAAGCACAGAGCAATATTACGAAAAGGGGCCAAGGGAGGAATGTGGAACGTACCACAGGAAGCACAGGAATGAGGGCTCCATGATTCGCCCTTGTTTGTTGCCCCTTGCTACTATCGCTGCCGCTTCAAATCCCATGCTGTGCTGAGACAGGGAAGATGCGAGAGATGCATCGATGATGTATACAGAAGAACAGTGAGGGCTGGCTAGGGGGAACAAGGGGATGGGGGAGAAATCACAGATAGAAGAAAGCACAGCTGAGGGAGGAGTGGTGCCAGGAATGGTATGAGGAGCATTGAAGGAGCGAGACTAAGAGGATAAGAGGCGAAAATGATGGAAGGACTTACCACATCAAAAGTCTTCTCCCTCGTCTCTGCTCCCTCTTGTCTGCTCCCTCTTGTCTGCTCCCTCTTGTCTGCATAACCTTTGCTTATGAACATCTGAGACACTGGCAGATCAACAACTCATAATGAGATAAAGAATGGCAAGAGAGAAGAATGCAAGAACAGGAGCTGAGCGAAGATGAAATAAAAGAGCAAAGAAGATCTTACCAGGTCTGCTGAAGCAACCTCTTGTCCTCCTGCGTTTCCTCTCCTCCTCCTCTACTTCCTCTCCTTTTCCTCGACGTGGATTGTCCTCTCCTCCTCTGCTTCCTCTCCTCCTCTGCTTCCTCTCCTCCTCTGCTTCCTCTCCTCCTCTGCTTCCTCTCCTCCTCTGCTTCATCTCCTCCTCTGCTTCATCTCCTCCTCTGCTTCATCTCCTCCTCTGCTTCCTCTCCTCCTCCTCTGCTTCCTCTTCTTCTCTGCTGCTTCCTCTTCTCCTCTGCTGCTTCCTATTCTCCTCCTCTGCTTCATCTCCTCTGCTTCATCTCCTCTGCTTCATCTCCTCTGCTTCATCTCCTCTGCTTCATCTCCTCTGCTTCATCTCCTCTGCTTCATCTCCTCTGCTTCATCTCCTCTGCTTCATCTCCTCTGCTTCATCTCCTCTGCTTCATCTCCTCTGCTTCATCTTCTCCTCTGCTGCTTCCTCCTCTCCTCCTCTGGTTCCTCCTCTCCTCTGCTTCCTCTCCACGTGGATGGTCCTCTGCTCCTCTGCTCCGCTATTCTTCAAGCTAAAACAATCCTAGAGCTACAACCTACAAGTAAAGTGACACAGATCACAGCCTACAGCCAACAGCCAACAGCCTACAGCCTACAGCCGACAGCCTAACAGCCTGTGCGATACATAGAGATACAGCCAGCAGCCTACAGCCGACAGCCTACAGCCTTCAGCCTACAGACTGCACTATACAAAACAGCTGCACCCTACAGCCTAACAACCTGTGAAATACATAGAGCCACAGCCAACAGCCAACAGCCTACAGCCCACAGCCTACAGCCCACAGCCTACAGCCTGCACTAAATATCACAGCAAGAGTTACAGCAGTTCAAGCGTATCTTGACAATTCACAAAATTAACCTTGCTTTGTTCTTTCCATTCTGCTAAATTTCATTGCTTGCTTGTTCGATATCCCTTTCTGCATGGATCAGGGTTAGGTGCTGCCCTGTAGTCAGAGTGGGGTTAGCGTACCTGTAGTTAGGCGCTGCCCTGTAGTCAGAGTGGGGTTAGCGTACCTGTAGTTAGGCGCTGCCCTGTAGTCAGAGTGGGGTTAGCGTACCTGTAGTTAGGCGCTGCCCTGTAGTCAGAGTGGGGTTAGCGTACCTGTAGTTAGGCGCTGCCCTGTAGTCAGAGTGGGGTTAGCGTACCTGTAGTTAGGCGCCAGATGAAGCTTCTCACCAGGGCAGCGAGTCCCGCCAGATGAATCTGCTGGACGGAGATGGGTAGGGAGAGGGGGGATGGGTAAAGAGAGGATGGGTGGAGGGAGC